TTCAAGGATTCTGTCGAGGATTAATCTTGCTGCAAAGAATAGGCATAAAATAATATTAATGGTATATCTAGGAGCTTAATTTGAAATAAAATCAAGGGATTCATGTAGGTTAAATCTTTTCACTTCCAATTTTTCATGTGAATTTCATTTCTTGGATAGGGGTTTTGTATTTGGGAAACAGACATCATGGCTGGTTTGGTTGTTTATAATGAATAAAGCATATACATTATAATGAGGCTTCATATGACCTCAGTTTAGACACCTTGAGCTGAGACTTTGGTTTATTTAGCAGCTTTGCTTTCTATCCTGTGTGCTCAGTTTTTGGTGACATTGAAGATGCATACTTGTTTTCTTTGTATGTGTTTAGCAATGGTGCAGAAATCCTGAGAATTTGTAGTGTACTAATAGTGTGTAGAGACATTATTGTATGACCTTTATGATTCCAGTCTATTACAGTGTAGTAAAGCCATGGGTCAATATGCGGCTCTTACATGATAATAGCTTTGATAACAATACTATTCCCATATTTCTTTTAGCATTTATGCAAAAATAAAGCAAAAAAGCAACAATTACACCCATGGAAAATTGTTGGTGCTCCTTATTTAATAACAGAAAACCAATGTCACAGAAATAACTTTAATCTGCCAAAATAAATAAATATACATTTTATGAAAGTCAGACATAAGGATAAAAAAACCCCAAAAAACTAATGAAACCGGTCTAGGAAAAATTATAGTACCCTTAACTTAGAGTTTTGTTTCACAACCTTTTAAGCAGTCACTGCCATCAAATGATTCCTGTAACTTTGACTGAGACTCCTGCTCCTCTCTGCAGGTATTTTGGTCCACTGTTGTCTTGGGTTTGAAAGCTGCCTTTCCCAGACAGCATGTTCAGTTCCTACCAAATCTGCTTAATAAGATGTAGGCCAGGGCTCATAGGAGGCCAATTCAGAATAGTCCTGTGTTTTCCTCTGAGCCATTCTTGAGTGTTTTTAGCTTTGTACTTTGGATCATTATCCTGTTGAAGACCCACAACCTGAGCCTGAGGCCGAGCTTTCTGACACTGGGCAACACATTTCTCTGTAGAAAACCATTGATAGTCTTGAGATTTCACGTTTCAAGACACCCTGTATCAGATGAAGCAAAACAGCTCCAGAACATAACAGAGCCTCCTCCATGTTTCACAGTAGGGACAGTGTTCTTTTCTTGATATGCTTCATTTTCTGTCTGTCAACATTGAGGCTGGGATACGCTGCTGGGGCAGCTAACCACGAGGGCATTGCGCTTGGAATCTAGGGCATTGCGCAGGGCATTGGCATTGCGTTTGGTATCCAGATGTCAGTCCCTACTGACACTCTGGCTCCCTGAAAAAGACCATACCACTCCCCGGGCGCTCCACACTGGCAGCCCGCTGCTTCCCAAGGGTATGGGTGTAATGCAGAGGGTCCATTTCATTGCTCTGTACTTGTGACAGTTTAATAACAATAAAACGCTGGACAAATGGGCAAAAAGTTTTATTTTGGTCTCGTCTGTACATAGGACAGTCTCCCAAAAGCTTTGTAACTTGTCATGTAGTTTGGCAAATTCCTGTCAGGTCTGTTTTATGATTTTGTTTTCAATATTGGTGTCCTCCTTTGTCGTCTAACATTAAGTCCAGCTATGCTTAAACAATGAAGGATTGTGTGATATGACACTGATTGAGCTTTAAATTTTCCTTTAATCTGTTAAAAAGTTGTCTAGGCTCTTTTATTACCATTCATATTATCCATCTCTTTGATTTGTCATTAATTTTCCTCCTGCTGCCCCATCCAGGTAGGTTGGCTACAGTCCCATGGATCTTGATTTTTCTGAAGGATACATTCAGCTGCAGTCACATGAACATCAGCTGCTTGGAGGTGGTCTTATAGCCTTTACCTTTGACATGCTTGCATATAATTTTCTTTTTAGCCTCCTGAGAGAACTCATTTTCCCCCTCTGGTCTATGTAGAGTGTGGTAGACGCCATGTCACCAAACAATACAGTGACCACATGTAGACCTATATGTTGGCCCACTGACTAATTAGAAGATTGTAGACACCCGATTTTGTAATTCATTCTGTTGACGCATGATTGAAAAGCAATGTCTGACTATCATTTGTTCATTATCAAAGAATATTTATTGTTGTCAGATTCAAGTTATTTCTGTGACCATTGTGGGTTTTCTTTTTCTTCATCAAATGTGGGGACGATATTTTGTCCATGTGTGTATTAACTTTGCTGCAGAATGATTTAGAGTTATGCTCCAAATTATTTAGACCTTTGGTTTTAACAAAAAAAAGGAAGGTCTTAACAGACATTTCTCAACAAATAATAAAAGCAATTAGACTTTTCTCCACTTTGTTTACATTTTATGCTGTCATAGTTAATTTTTCAATATAGTGTCGGTCGTCTGCAATTAAAGTCTTTCATATATCATCATGATGGCTGCAAGATTCAGGTTAATTGTTTTATCCTTAGATGACATCTATGTTCCCAAACTCTGAACTTAATGCAGCCAGCACAGTCAGAGTTCAACCTTGGCTTTTCCTCACTCACCTCCCCCTGCTCTTTGTGCCACCCTACAGCTTATGTAACATTTAGTATACATGCTGGGCAGGCAGATGAGGGCATCAAGCCAGGCGGATAACAAGCAGCACCCACAAAGGGGAAATAAGGCACACATGTGTGAGTGCAGGAAATGTGGCTGCCAGACTGGGCACCTTGACACCACTGGGCCAGTCTCTCTGGTGCCAGAGATCTAATGAACAGGACTCTGGTTGAACTCTTGTTTGAGAACCTTATTTCTTGTTCCCTCACTAAGAAGAGGTGAGGGAAGTGGTCAGAAGAGAGATGATTATTGTTTTTTTTTCTCCCGAAATATGTTAAAGATTTCATTCTTTCATCATTTGAATCATTTTTAGATTGAAGCATTTTAGCAACTAAATAACTGATTTGGATGTCGACTTTATCATCCAGTCGTGCATTTGGGGAGTTATTTAGAGATGTATTCTGCTTTTTCAGCCTCCAACTCTAGATGGCACCATCTCTCCTTGGCTTGCCCTGATATTCAGTAGCTTGATCTGTACCACTCTGTCGCTTCCCTGCTGTTTGGTCGTGCGTTCAGTTAGGTCAGACAAGCAGGAGCCAGAGAGAGTCATCTGTGTACGTTGGTGTTCATGTTTCTCATGCTTCTTCTGATGTCTGAAAGGGACAGCGCTATGGTGGCTCTGCAACAAACTCTGCCGTCTGTTTCTCTGATCACTAGGCAGGAAAAAAATACTCCCCCACATTTACTGGGATTACATCACTCTTAAGTGCACATAGTCCTTTGCAAATAATATTAATTTAACAAAAAGCAGAGCGGTATTTCTTCTAGCCTCCAATCCTCATTTAAAGGGGCGTCTACCTGTTCACAGCTTCACACCTGAATCTCTCACTGCATCCTTTCTGGCCACTGATCTGGGAACTTTTTAAAATAAAGCAATATTTATAAACATCCCAAAAGAAATGCAATTTATGACTTAGCGCTGAGCAAAATAGGTCGTTTAGCAGCTCAAGTGACAGATTTCCCTCAGGCAAAACCAAACTGGATTTTGTCATGAGGAAAGAAGCATGACTCCAGATGAATAATGATGTTTTAGCCTAAGCTAAAACTACTGAATAAGAATCGATGCAAAACATTATAGAGCAGCACCAAATAATACGACCTATAACATATTTGGCTCATTATCTGCTATTACCCATCTATAACAAATATGTGGTGCTTTAAACTTCATGTCCTTAAAAAGCTATTTTAGGCCCATTTCACAGCATAGTTTCATATCTCATAGGAGCAGGAGTAAAGGAAGTTAATGTCGGGATGTTGTTGTTAAACCTCTGAGCCGTCAGGATTTTATCAGAGAGCCAATCTGGTGAGTAGGTGTAAGCATTTCAAACCAGCATTGCTCTTGGCACTTACTGGCTCTGCAGTGCCAGCGTCATTTATGTCAGCAGGCATTATTGGAGGTCACGACCTCGTTGAAAGGTTGACTTATGAAAAGCCGGGGCGCCTTATAGAGGGGGGATTTCTTTGCAGGCGTAATGCGGAAGTGCCTCATGAGAAGAGATTTAGATGTTGGAAAATGCAATGTACTAAGAGGCTGCTGGGTGCTGTTTTCACTGGATCAGACCACTACAATATAAAGGGCAGTTTATACTTCTGCAATCGCACACATCAAATGTCACTTGTGTCTGGTCGCGAACCAGTTTTGCTGGTATGCTTCCGCACTGTCTGTCTGGAATTTCTAGGGACGCACAGCAGTTTCCCACCAAAGCGCAAGAACTTCAATGGATTGTCGTTCCTCGGTTTTTAAAAATGGCGTGCCCCGGCACTGAATCAAGAAGGACGACCACACAGACAGCCGGAAAGGCATACCAAGGACCAATCACAGCTGCTTTTGGTCTGCACATTTCCATTTGACGTCTGCGCGGGTTTGCGACCGTCGGACGCATTGTCAGGATTTTTTTTAGGTGCGAAACGACAGTTGAAGAACCTCTGCGGAGAGACCGATTTGACGGTTACAGAGGCTATGCGTCAGAAGCATAAATCGGCCTTAAGACCAAGATCCTGCTTGGAGTTGTCTTAGAATCAAGTTGGATCTTGTTAGTCTTTTTGATCCCTTGACTGCATCTAAGCCAGTTAGTGACCTTAATCAATATTGAAAACGCAAGTTAAGTTTGGGAACAAGCGCTATAAGTAATGGCATACTCACTGATCCGAGAAAAAATTGTGTCTGTGGTCAGGCTGGTTGGGTTTGTTTAAGCTGAAAATGGGGTCAGTTCCAGTCACTAGCTGACTGCTTTTATATCAACTAGTGAGTTAATACATTAACACATTTAAATAAAGCAAAAACCTCTTTAAACTTTATAATTTTGCATCATTTTATTATCCGATGATTAATATTTCTATAATGTATGTCTTTTTTTCTTTGCACTTTCCTCTAGGTGGTCTCTGGAGTGTCTTCACTCTGGGTGGAGCTGGTAGTAGAGCTGGGACAGACCAGGAAAACGATCCTTTACCTTTATCCAATCAGAGCCTCCTGTTACTGCTGGTATTGGCCAATCTGACAGATGGGCCTGATTGGCCAAACCCTTTCCGTCAGGCTATTACTTGTTTCAGAAACACACAAGGTAATAAATGTAGAAAAGACAAAATGTTTGTCATCTTCTGCTGTTTATCTTTAAAACTCTTAAGTAGTGCGAATGTATGACTGATGCCAGATGGCAGTAAATCAATGTTGGTTGTAATCCTAACAATATTTACCCTTCCTCCTCTAGACACGTCGGCACTGCCTGTGGAGCTACCTCACACTTTTCAGATCAATTTCAACAGTCTGTACACGGCTCTGTGTGAGCAGCAGCGCTCCGACCAAGCCACTCTGCTTCTTTACACCCTGCTCCACCAGAACGCCAACATGAGGACGTACATCCTGTCAAGGACTGACATGGACAATCTGGTGGGTGGGGGGGAAGCTATAAACAGAGTCCTTTTTTTGTTATTACTCCTGCAATCGGGTCATTTCAGTAAGGTGGAAGGAACAGCCGCAGTTAAAGATCAATTTTAGTGCCATTGGGTGCCTTTATAGGTTTTCCATGCAGACTGCTGTGGAAGTGAAATTGTTTGATATATGACCAACGTTACGGTTCAGTAAACAGGCAAAGGTGTGCGCGGTGACAGATGGTGCTCTTTCTGTCAGTTGGAACCAGAGCCAGTTATTTCATGTAACAGTAAGCATGGACTGCAGCATTTAAAAAAAGTCTTTCCAAAACAAGGTTTGAGCCACGGCTGAGGTGAATATGGAAAGTAGAACTTGGATTAAAATATCTATAACCTCATTATCTTAGTTCATTTTAAGATTTCTCTCGGTCTCTTTGTTCAACCACTTGGGTTAATTTGGCTGGAGGCAGCTGATGGGACGAGCTGGTAGCTGGCAAACATTTTTTTTCTTCTTCTTCTTAAAGCAGTTTTTAAAGCAGTTATTCCTGATAGTGTGATTTTGTATAAAATCAATGTTTGGATTTTTTTTAACCTTGTGTCAACAATTTGTGTAAATCTGTACATTTCAGGCTTTCGTCTAATATGTAGAAATCTTTTGGAGATGGATGTCTTTAGCTGATCACTTACATTACTATATTACTACCTTATATAATTTAGCTCTATGAGTACAATAGTGAAGCCTGTACTTCTTATTCCTCTAGAAAGGAAGCTTGAAGCATGAAAAAAGTTAATAAAAATTAAGCTAATTTTCATAAACAAACTTGCAACAGCCTTATAAGGAAAGTTATTCTCAGGTTGATGCAAGGCTTAAGCAGTTATCTTGTATTTTTATGTTTTTGTCAGACAATGTTGATGTTGTCCTTTAAAATGCAAGGCAAGGTGTGAACCTTTTCTCCATCTTCTTCCTTGTTTCTCTCAGGTTATGCCCATCCTGGAGATCCTTTACCACGTTGAAGACAGAAATTCTCACCATGTCTATATGGCCCTTATTATTCTCCTCATTCTCACAGAGGACGATGCCTTCAATCGCTCCATCCATGAGGTGGTAAGTAAACACACATTTTGGTTGTCTGGTCTAAAGCCCAGCTCCTGTCAGAAAAGAAAAAAAATGATTACTTCTAGTTGCCTGTCAGACATTGGTGTTTTCAGTAGCTGTGTCACCACTGCCCCCAACCCCCCCACCCCCCATCTCCTCTCAGGTGCTGAAGAACATTTCTTGGTACACAGAGAGGTCACTGACAGAGATCTCACTTGGAAGTTTGCTCATCCTTGTTGTTATCCGGACGGTCCAATTCAACATGACTCGGACTAGGGTAAAACAAACACTCCTACAAGCGCAGAGTTTGTGCTGTTCTTTGTAAGACTTTATGCTAAAGTGGTCAGTCATTTGTAAACTGGTTCTCAAATGTGTTGTGTGCATACTTCTCAGGATAAATACCTACACACCAACTGTCTCGCTGCACTTGCCAATATGTCAGCCCAGTTTCGAAGCCTCCATCAGTACGCCGCTCAGCGCATCATCAGGTAAGAGCATGGCAAAGGTTAGAAGTCACACTTCTTTATCATGTCTACCTGTCTGTGTGGCTCTTAATGCTTCAATTCTTAAAAAAAAAAACATATTTGTCAGCTGAAGGAATAATAAGTTACTTGACAAAGGCTACTGAGTCTGCAGAGGACAATGTTATGTAACTAAGGCAAAGGGCCTCCATAGAAGACTGAACCAGAGGACAAAACACAGTCATAGACATTAGCATAGAGATATTCATGGCTGATTGTTCAAACCAGGCACACGGGAAAGAACGTTTCCTTCCTTGAAGACGTGCATACATCAACGCACATTCAAGGATCTTCTTATCTGGCTGCCTGTGTCTCTCCCTGTATCTTGTTTTATGCTGCACAGAGAAACAGTCTGCGAATGTCTACACTTGTTTCCAGCAGTAATGAAGAGCAGCCGACTGCGTCTGATGATAATGATGATGATGATCGGTGTGATGGTCTGGGTTGGGCTGCGCTCGTTGGTCTGCTGTAAGATAAAGGGAATTTCCTGCCAGGAATTTCTAAATGTCAGCCAGAGTGTCCTGAACTCTGCCCTGAATCTAACCCTCAGAGAGAGTCTGAGCTGCTGCTGTTGATGCTTCCTTCCTTATTATTTCATATCCATCATTGTTCCTCTGCAATATGATGACGTAGGCTTATGCACCCGTAGATTTAGATGATAATATGAAGGATAGACTAAATTATTATTATTTTTTTTTACTGGCTCATAATTGTGTTTTGTGGATCTGTTAAACTTGGTGAGAATGCTTTGAAAATGCAGAGAAAGGCTGAATTCACCACAATATGATGGAGCCTTTATAAACCAGAAAATCACTCATAAGAAAACAAAACCAGGGTATAAAGATGTTGACAAAAAGCAAAATACATGATAGTTCTGTTATCTTTCAAACCTATAAAACACACAAGCATGTAAATAGATAAGAATATTATTACAAGTTATTCGTTTTAATAACTCTGTAACTAAAAGCTACCAAGTAAAACACATTATATAGATGAGTGTTGCAGATAATCATTTTACTAATTGATGAAGTTGACTATTATTATTTTTTTTTTATAATACTAAGGTAGTAAAAGGTGCTTTAATGGAGATATTTTTTATAGAACATAAACCAGAAGAACCTTAAACTTTGACACTTCCTAGATCAAGCATATATATTTTTTTAATCTTTAATGAATCTTATATATATGAATTTGTACAATTTTGGCTTAATCGCTTCTAATTGTTCTTTCTACATTTAAATAAAATATTTGACATCAGACCTAGAAACAGACATCAAATACAGTGATGTGGGCTTCATAGGAATGTTTTAAGGGGTCATAATCTGGTAGTTTACATAAACAATCCTTCTAACATAGTTTTTTAATTCATGTTTTAGCTTTTTTAGGAGCAAAAAAATGAAGTTATTTTGGCCCTCTGTCGTAAACTCACCAGGTTACACACAAAGTTTTAACTTGTTTGTGTGCGAGTTCTTAACATAATGAGCATTTTTAGCATATTTTGTTTAGCATTGTTTCCTGGTGTTTTGGGCAGTTTATCAAAAGTTAAACAAGTAGCAACACTTACCGACTGTGTGCCGGCGGGTCCCTGATAACTGGAATTGCCTCTTGTGGTGGATCAGAGATGGGCGTGGTGAAAGCAAGGTTGGTTTTAGCATCCTTCCAGGAATGATGGAAATTACAGAGAACCAGAATCCAGCCATGTGTAGAGATCCCCTTTGCGTGTTTTTCTGGTTTAAACAAAGAGCGCACAAGAAAAAAAACGTTCTCTCTCCGGACCGTCTGGCAGGTTTCAACTGAAGCCCAACATCAACACATGTTTTAAGAGAGTCTCATTTTCAGGTGATGATTAATACCTGCCTTATGGTTATTTTATCTGAAAACCATTGGAGAACATTGTCAAATTAACTGATCTGAAAGCTTTAAAATAGGCTGTAACATTATCCCATCATTTCCTACATTGCAGAAAACATATCAGGCTTCAGGTACATAAAAAATAAATACAAGCTGAACTTGCTTCACTAAACCTCTGCAATTTTTGTAAAATTTAAACTATATTTTACATCAATGCCTCACTTTATGATGACATGGGGATGAAGCGGCTGGTCATATTTTGTTGTAATTATCCAGGTGGAGCATGGCTGGTGGTCCTTTATTTAAAAATGGATCAAAACTGAACCTGAAGAATAAAGGTTCTTTATATGGTTCTGATGGGACCTTCTGAAGATGACAGGGAGATCTCCACAGAGCTGATCTAGTAACTCTATTCAGCAATTGTCTGGCCGACTGTGGGGATTTGTGTGCCTATATTTCCTGTGCTGACGGATGAACATGTGACCTGAGCATTGGCCTTCTTTAATGCTCTCACCACTGCGTCAGACCGGCTTCATGTCTGCACCACACAGATGCAATGTTGTCCATTTACCAGGCTGAACATGAAGCAGTCTAAAGAGTCTAAATTTTCTCGTTAGAATAACTTGATAGGGTAATTTAACGGTTTATAATCACAGTTTGTAGGTTTTAAAAGTTCTCCATAAGAAATTCTTGATTGTTTTTTTTATTTTAGATTCTGTAATAGTTGCTGATTTCAAAAAGCTAAATTTGGAAATCAAAGCAATTATCTCACATAATTGTTCTGGTTTTCAAAGATCAACCACAACCGTTTCAGCTTTTATCACTTTAATAATTAAAAAACTGAAATATTTCTTGGCTAAGGCAACATTCATCAGCTGCTCTCTTTCTCTGTGTTTTTCCCATCAGCTTGTTTGCTTTGCTTTCCAAAAAGCACAACAAGGTTCTGGAGCAGGCAACACAGTCTCTAAGAGGCAGACAAGGAGACAACACAGCCTTGCCAGACTATGTGAGTAAAACACACATACAAAGTCACGGTTTCTCCAAGTGGGGATAAAGCTTATTAATAGCTGCAGAATTGTGTCTAGATGGATAAGGAACAGGAATTTGACACAGACATGTGTGACCCTTTAGCGTGAAGTGCCGCACTTTTTTTATTGAACATTAGCGGAAGAAGGAAGACTGTGGAAAACAATAAAACTTCCAGAAAGGGGTTTTGCTTTGAACCAGCTGTTCTTTAATGTTGTCGTCCCAGTTTACATAGTGAGCCATTTAACAGGGATAATATGTAAGGGAGACTAGTAGAAAAACAAATGACTGGATGTTGTTGGCAAAACTCCCAGCTAACAGAAGATAAGGAAGAACATGAGAGACATTTTATTCAGTATAATGTATAAATATGTATAATGTATGCAATGTGTAATAATGTTGTGAGGTGATGGTGTGTTAAATTTGAACTCAGGAGTCAGAATTTCCCAAATTCGAGTTAGGAAAATAAAACTGATCCCATCTTAAGTCTAAACTCTGACTTGGAAAGACGTTGGTTCCCATCCAACCTCAGGCTCTGATTCATTCAGGGGTTTTTTTCTATTTCTGATGCTTTCTGAAATTAAACATAAAACTATGATTTACACTTTTATTTAGATATAAATTAGAGGGAATCCTATAAGGCTAACTGTAGTTGGTGATACAGAAATGAGCAATAACTGCTATTTTTGCAGCTTCCAACTAGAGTGTTACATCTGACTGAAGGGTTAGTGCGGATTATTAAAAAAAACTATTTGCTAAATTACAGTATGTTATTTTTTATGCCTCATTCCTCCTGTTGCACTTGTGTAACTGCAGCAGGTTCAGGGGCAACTTTCACAGGAGAGTAGTATTTCACATTTGTATTAATTGTGAAAAATAATTTGAGAAAAACATGATATATTTTTAAGTTTTTTATTGTAAAAAGATGATGCATAATTTTATGCAATATAATTGGTTAAACATAACTTTGTTTACTTTAGTTCAGTGGCGGCTGGTGAAAAATATTTTTGGTGGGGCTGATATAGCCTAGTGTATGTCTCCAACTAATCCGGAATAAGAATTCAAATAAACAATTGGACAATACATACAATTTAACAGTAATGATTTAATTTACTATATAATAACAGTAACAGTGATGATTTGGGTCACTGTGACGGGGTTCTTTGGCCTCCAAGAATCCAGGCTCAGTCGGGTTACCGGTGTTGGTGATTTATTGTGCTCAAAAACTCAAAACAGGGTGCAAAAGAAACTAAACATATACAAGATACTCTGGGCCTCAGCCTCCCTCCAGTTACCAGCAATGTAACAAAGAAACAGAAAACAAAAATGGCCGCTCTTCTTCCCACAGCCCTCATTAAATAGTTTAAGCCCCTCCCTTCAGGCTCTCTTATTTCTGATTTCTTCTCATTAATCAGTTTTGTCCATATATTACCTCCACAAACAATTGATGTACAAAAACAAACAAATCATTTTTACAACTTAATTCTTTTACACAGATTCATTGACTTATTCAATTACACCAAACTGGGTTTGAACCCAGCAAAGACGCAGCCAGACTGAAGATGACAAGTCCCCGTAGCATAAATACATACATATCCACACCCCCCACACACCCACACACACACACACGGCTAACCCCACTGAAATATTAAGTGTGCACCCTCAATACGCCAGCAGGTAACCAGGAACAGCTTGTGTGTTTTAAGTTAATGGAGCTACTGGGCTCAGCGTGAGTGAATTGGTCCTCACAAGCACAGTATAACAGGAATGTGTGTGTGGCACGCAAAGTTTTAAGCGACGAGGTGGATTCGTCACAATCACAATAACCATGACAGGAAATTTTCATATCCTACAACAGGGATGTTCTTCTGGCAAACGGGTAGATAAATAAGGATCTCACCGAATTTGGTGGAAGCTGCATCTCGCTCGTTACGTTCGCCATCATCACTCTAACTGTCTGCACCTGCGCTTGGGTTCAGAAGCCTGTTAAAGCGCAGTATTTTCAGCGCCCCAAGACCATAAAGTTCTGAGACGCTGATTGGCCATTAAATTCACCTAGCAATAGTACATGATTGACAGATTCTCTGCAAATGTGGGTCTGTCTGATCAGCGCCCCAAGACAGAGACGGTAGGAGTCTGTCTGTGGAAATCCACAAATGAATGACAGTAGGTAGGGAAATGTAGTTTATAAAATTTGTTTTGCTTATAGATAGACACTCCAGAGAGTAAAACGGACATTTATGAGTTAATTTCTAAAAATATATTTTACGTTTCTCTCTTCTTATCAGGGAGGGCGGTGCCCCAGCGCCCCCTATGGGCCGGCCGCCACTGCTTTAGTTAGTGTTTAGTAACTCTGGCATTTAGCTAGGCGCTCTTACATCTAACCTCTCACACCTAATGTGTTTCTTGTTTAATATTTATTGACAATAGACTTTAGCCAGCTATAAATTCCTGCTTTTATACCCAAACATGTTAGATACCCTTCCTCTAATGACAGAAGACCTAGATCAACATGCTCTAATGCAACTAAAAGAAACCCCTGTCAGGACCTGAATTTGTGTGTTTATTCAAAATATATAAATCTGGTGATTAAATACTTTTAGAAAACTCAATACTTTAAAGATTAAGAATAAATGTGCATATTTAAGATTAAATTAAATGTCTTCTTGGTCTGAATGTTTGTACAGAGGTAGTTGCTTTACGCTTAACTGTTGCTGTTGCAAAGTTAATAATATCAGCAATATTTTAATGAATATTCTAATTCATGATTCATAATGTTGTAATACTGTTATATTTATTTTATAGTTTCAAGATTTCAAGAGAACTTGCAGTTCTCACAGTTTAATAAGTAGTTATGATGACATAAAGTTGTCATAACGTTTTGACAACTTGTTTTGTTCCCTGCTAAAACAAAGTTTATGAATTCAGTTAAATAATTGTTAAAATATATCTGTCATATGTGTGTTTTTAGCTTTCTTCCTGTATGGGAAGTTTTTCAAAATTTGAAATATTAGTGCAGTGGTTTATGTTAAAATAAACCTTTGGGTTAAGTTGTCGCAAGCAGGTTTTTCTTGTGTTTCTTGTGAATTTGGTCTTAAATTTTTATTTCAAGTGGCATTAAAAAGTCTTAAAAAGTCTTGAATTTAACTTGCTTTATGCTGTAGGAACCCTGTCACAGACTTCTTGCCTTCTGGTTTAACTCTCTACTTTTCTGTCTGGCTGTCCTGTTCCATTTTCATGGACTTGCTGTGTGGACATGGACATATTTGGCCTCCATTTTGTGGTGTTCCTCTTAAATGCCCTCAGGTTTTTTGGAGGGAACACGAGTTGATGCGATTGCTCCTTCAGCCGTGTAGTGTCTGTCTGATGGGGCCCTCTGCACAAACACGTCAGAGCACACTTTAAAACACACAAGCGCATGTAATGCAATTTCCAGCCTTGTTGAGAAGTCTCATTCCTCCAAGGCTTGTTTTAATACTTTTTTAATTGCATGCGCACATTATTTATCACTGTTTGATGCTGGCAAGGGAAAAGAGACAATAACTGCTGTATTAAAGATAGCAGTTAAGCCTGATCCGCTTACAGGAAAGAGGTGAGGTAACTCTGCACATGGAGTAAGAAGTCAAAGTGATGGGTCACCCGCACAACAGGGCTGATGCATTTGTCAGAGATTCATATTGTTGCTCAAGGGCTTGTGGCAAATTTTCAGCATATTTCATGGGAATTTTGCAAGGGCTTTCATTTCCTTGAAAAGAGTCTGACATCCAGTCTGGGTCACAGACTTAGGAAAGACTCGATCATCTTCTCTGATACAGTTGTTATCCTTCAGCTTAGTCTACACCAGCTATATGTGACATTGGTTCCCATGTCTGGTATCCACGTTTAGTGGCGTGTTGACATCCTCTGATTTTCAGAGCATACACCCGTACTTAAACATTACATAAACATGCAGTATCTTACAAAACAATCCACACCTCTGGAGCTGTTGATGTTATGTCACGACCACAAGCTTTGATGCATTTTATTTGGCTTTTTCGCAATCGACTAATAAAAGGTAGCTCATAAATAGAAAAGGAGAAGGAAAGTCTTAGATGTTTGGTTAAGACTTCAGTCTCCAGATGATTTCCCCTAAATATTATCAGCTGGGATTGCTGGATTTCTACAAACTATTCACCTAAAGAGACTTAATACAATAACAGGTTTTTATAAAAATAGAAAAAAAAATCGGTACGCAGTGTTTAGTGTTGGCCAAGCACACAAAGTACAAGTAAACGTAGATAAAGGTTTATTGTTTGGAAAAGATAAAATCTTACAAGGTATGAATATTTTTTTCAGAGCTATTTTTTTCAACAACTTTTGCACCTACTGCTTTATTTGCACTACATTAGCTTCTGTTTTATTCAGGAGCATGCAGCAGATGGCACATGTAATAAAACAACTGTTTTCCCAATCCTGACTTCTTCCACCAGTCTCACTTTCCGTGGTAGTTGGATTCTAGGAAGTACTGCCTCAGAAGAGTTCTTCTTGTTAGGCCTCAGGCTGTGTTTCTGCTAAAAATTTAAACCAATCTCCCTGTTTCTGAAACCGCTATTAGTTGTTTTTAGGTGTCACACTTGACAACAAAGGCAACAACGTTGATGCTGTTGCAGTACTACTGTGTGGGGATTACATTTGATTGTTTGTGTGTTTACATTCCCATTACAGCAGAAAAAAAAACTAAATGTGACAAATGGCTAGAGTAATTCTCTTGTTATTTTTGTCAGTCAGCCAAACATGCAAACAGTCAAATGTATTTAAACAAGCTTGTCCTGCAATCATGCTGCAGCTGTAAGATCTGTATTAGACGGTACAATGGACCAGAGCAAAGATGTTTTTCAATTTTTTAACACTCAAAAATATGAAAAATAAATGAATAAAACACAAGGTAGTAAATTAACATCAATAAGATAGTTTGGAGAATGATTCATGCTTTTATTGATATCAAATATGCAAAAAATTGAATTAAAATAGCTTATAATAGAACCAGCT